ACTTTGCATGGAGGCTTGTTGGTCTAGCAGCAGCAGCAGCAGCAGCAGCAGCAGCAGCAGCAGCAGCAGCAGCAGCGCAGTAGTAGTAGCAGTAGCAGTAGCAGTAGCAGTAGCAGTAGCAGTGGCACTAGCAGTAGCAGTAGCAGCAGCAGTAGCAGTAACACCGTAGCACAGTAGCACAGTAGCAGTAGTAGTAGTAGTAGTAGTAGTAGTAGTACTAGTAGTAGTCGTCGTGGTGGTGGTGGTGGTGGTGGTAGAAGAAGAACTAGAAGTAGAAGTAGTAGTAGTAGTAGTTGTTGTTGTTGTTGTTGTAGGAGCAGGAGTAGGAGTAGGAGTGAGGAGTAGGAGTAAGAGTAGTAGTCGTCGTCGCAGTAGTAGTAGTAGTAGTAGTAGTAGTAGTAGTCGTAGTAGTAGTAGTAGTAGTAGTAGTAGTAGTAGTGGGCCTCAAAACTCCTTTAGTGTTTTGGAGCAGAATGAAGCCAGAACGGCAGACAGGACAAAAGTGGAGCAGGACGAGACCAGAAGGGTCAGAATTGGAAAAAAACGAGAAGCAGAAAAGCGCAGGAGCGAAAGAGTCAAGTACGAAAAGCAGAGAAGCACAAAAGCGGGAAAGCAGAAGCACAAAAAAGACAAGAAAGCGACAAGCAAACAGAAGCAGAAGGAAGAACGGGAAAACGAGACAACATCAAAGCGTAGAAAACCCAAAAACAAAAAAACACCGAACACAAAGCTAAAAAACAACATGATGAACAAATCACCTTGGCACAGCTTCGTTCTTGCAGTAGTTGACTGATCTTTCGACCTTTCTCCACATTGGCATGTGCCAAGTTGTCTTTTGACGACTTTGGCCTGGCTTCGCTTTGGCTCGTCTTCGGCTGTTGGCCGTGGCGGCGCTTTTTTTTGGGCCGGTAGGGGGATGTTGAAGCCCACATCATCCCATACGCGTCGATTGTATTGCCATGGCGAGAACAAGAAGCAGAGCGAGCAAAATGTCTGGAAGGGACGAGAAGCACTGGGCTCTCAGGAGGCAAAGTCTGAGGAGTCTGCTCTGGGAAAAACAAGACATAATTCTCAACATGCGAAGCGTGCCACCACCCGACCACCCATCTTCGCATATGTTGAGGATAAGTATGCGGGGAGAGCGGCATGTCAAACCGAAGTGAGAGCCTGAAATCCACCGGAAATGACATGAAGGCCGTAAGGGCGGACCCGTAAAGGGAGCTACATCTCACGCGATACTGTGTGACATAACGATCTCCTTCCGTTTAACTCCGTGCTGTATAACATGGCGTCGCCGCAGTATGAACTTAAGACAACATCCGCTTCAGAAGTGTGCGAATCACTCCGAACAACATGTCCACGGCTTTCGACACGACATGTACGTATATCTCGAGCATAAGCACACATTGCATTTGCGCATACTCTCCAACACAGTTCTCGATCTGAATGCACACAAAGGCATTTCACAAGCGCTTGTCGGGATTTGTAAGCGTGACAGCAGGGCTTTTCCTGATAGTCCACCCTCATCTCGGCCACTGCCAGCCTGTCATCAAGCGCATTGTCAAGGTTACTCGCTATGTCACCATGTAGAGACACAGTCATGTCTTCTGCACTTGCCTCAACTCCATTTGCTGTTTGGGCCGGCCTACAGCGACGCAGAACTGCTTTCTACCGCATTAAATGCACAAGGGATCGCACAAAGGTCCAGCTAAGCTGCGAGGTGCGAGGCTCACCCTCAGCTGCCTCGTCCTGCGATTCGGCTAAGCTTGTTGACAGGAACCGGGGTGATGTTGCCGAGGTCCTCCGCTTCATGCGGTTTGCAACCGCTGACGGCCCCAGGTGACCTCAATCCCGCACCCGCCCGACTTATTCCTCGCTTTCGTCATCCACGTTGGAGGTAGACTGCGGAGAGGACAGATAGGCTTGCCATCCCTCGGCTCAGACTCTCGCCCGTCGGCCGGTACCTCATCTTGCCGCGAAGATTGACGAACCTTCAGCGAAAAGCAGGCGGGCTCTACGCTTGCTTCATGACCTGCTCAACCAACCAACCGAGCCGAGGTCCTCGTCGGAGTCCCGCAATTTGTTTGCACACACCTGCAGCACCTGAGCAAAAGCCCCCGCCGCAGGCCAAAATCACAAGTGTCTTTTCAAGCGCAGGCTGCCTTCGGAAACTCCAACGATGCGATGTGAGATACTTGGGACCCTCCGTGGCCATCAAAAACTGCGAATAGCGCCTCTCAGACGCCACAGTTACAGCTTTTGACTCACCATCTGAGCCGACTCACGGCTGCTACACTTAACAGATCGTTGTGTCCGCAAGTGTAGTCATAGGTCGTTGATCGCAGTGTCCAGTGCAAGCGGAAGATAATAGGACCGACGTACCAAGACGCCGACTACTGTCCGGCACATTTGGTGATTATCAGCCGTGGGATTTGGACCGTGGAGAGAGGAGGTCGTACTCCATGGCATACATCTACGAACATCAAGTCGAATAGGCAGTGACTCGTCGCTTCAAGAGCCAGCGATTCCAGCGATGGCTAGGTGCCATTGAGCACGAGTTTCCTTGCTTGCGGCAAAAATGGGAGCAACCACTCAAGCCAGCAAATGAACCAGCACATGCTACGGAGCACCAAAGTCGGCTTTCGGACGTGGCCAAGTTGTGGCCAACACAAGTCTCGTGCTTATTCCTTCAAGCCGCTATCAGCATTCTGTGGGCTGGGTCCATCTGTCCAACCATTCAGAAAGCACAAGAAGCAAGATACGCAACCAAAAACCGATAAATCCCAGTGGTTGCTGGGGCCAGGTGGCATGAGAAGGTTGCTTGTCTTTGCGGTGTAGGCACGTACCGAAGGACTCTGCCCGACAAGCAAAAGCGATTTCATCGCTGCATCTCAGCATTTGTCGATCGGGCATAGTCAAAGAAACGAAAGTGATGCGTGAATCTATTTAAACCGCATGAACGACATGGGAACCTTGGAACCCCTATTTTGGGACTATAGACTTTTATCATTACAACTAAATTAGAAAATTAGAACCCCTTATATATTATAGACCTAACTTATTGCCTAAATTATATCAAGAGGATGCATGTCTTTCTTCATTCCTTTTCCTCCATTGAATATTTATCAAAACACAAAGTGATGCGTGGTCTCAAATGAAATAAAGCAAAATAACCACATGTGTCTGTCCTTTTGGTGTTTTCTACTTTATGGTTGTTTCTGAAGGAGTTTTGAGTTGATGTTGTTTGCCATTACAAGACGACAGCTTTAGGACCATCCCCAACATCTGCGAATTTTGACCCCAATGCTGCAAAGTGTTTAAGGCTTCCTGACGCTGTCAGTGCTGTGCTGTCCTGGTGTGCCAGTGGCTCCGGCAAGGTCGCAGCAATGCAGGTGGCATCCTGGACATGGCTTTTCTGCGACAAGCTGCAAACATTAGGTCTCCGGTTGCTAGCAGCTTCACGATAACCTCCCGGCCTCCATGGCAGCCCGCCAACCCTGCATCTCGCACACTGCCCACTCCAAGCCGTGCCCATTGCCTCCTCGCAGGTGCTCATGTCAGCTAAGCACCTCTTTAGGATGCTTTCGGACAGAAGAAACACGGCAGGACGGATTTGACCAGAAACCCGGCCAACACTCTTGGCGATACAGGCTGCGGGGAGACCCAGCTGCTTCTACAACGACATGTCCAAGCAAGTTGCTCAAGGCAGTACGAGTAGGACCCAGTAGGAAGTGGATGGAATTAACAGATTAGCAGATGCTCAGTCATCAACAGTTCGTCGCTGCCCAACTCAGTGTGAATTCGCATCGACCCATCCGGAATTTGGTGCCGCAAAGTGGTTCATGCATGTGCGTGTTTGCCAATTCTGAGTGTCCTTCTGTTTTCTTCTGCCGGAGCGGGCCTCCGACTCGAGGTCCTGACACAGGCCCACTATGGAACCACTCTGCTCTGGAAAGGCAGGCTCTGGCGGCAGGCGCGGCCCCCGGCCTCCAACAGATGAGGTTTCGGAGAGCATTCCTCCAAAGAGCTTCCAGATCACAACACCAATCGTGGCGACCATCACCTTAGAAGTACCCGAACCACGTATCGCCATATAAAGAGTGCTGCTGTGCTGCTGCGCCATTGCTTGGGCACCGGCTGTTTTCCGAAAGACGTCATGCATCAAATCGCTGCCCGGGAAGCGCTCGATAAGAAACACTACTATCAAGAACACGTACAGGTCCTGCAAAACGTCGGTGCAAAGGGTTTTCAAGTTCAAACGAATGCTGCGCTATAGCTGCAGTGAAAGGTCCCGCAGAATGCTCCACAGGAGCTGCCCCATCCTGTCAAAGCTGGGATTAGGAAGTCTTATGCTTCAAAGGCGCACAATGCCTCTGCAGCACCGGCGGCGCCAAGTTTGCGACTGATATGCAACCGAATTGCAGATATGTCTTTGAGACCACCTCGTTACATCAACTACGTACCTATTTTTGGCCAGTGTCGCATCTCTAGGGCTGCATGACGCCTTGATATGCAGTCCCTGCAACTACAATGGACGGCTCGTTTCTGCGAGATAAACCATGTTGTACCTCTGTTCTTGAGCCTGGTCAGCCATAAAGCGGCTCAAATACTCTGGAGAGCAGTCAAGCAGGGCGAAGCCAGGACGCACAGCAACATAAAGCAACCATAGGAAAGCATTGTGGTCTTGGCATGCTGCCTTTATGCGGAGGAGGCAGAGCATACACACAGGAGGTATTGATACACCTACTCTGGGACAGACAGCCTTAATTAAGTTTCTCTCCATGGAGGCCAAGCAATGTCGCGGAGGAGTCTGTGTAAGATGCGCGGGAGGGTGCCGACTGGACGGACACATGACCCACTTCACCTCCGTTCCGCATGAGCGCTCCGCCCCGTCTACGAGATGTTCGGTGGTCGAGGACGATCTTAGTACCGTCACTGTTCTAAATCTCAACTCCCGAGTCCTACAAGGGGCGAATGCGTGATCGAATGCGCCTCTGCACAGCAGTGGCTTTTTCTCAGTTCCAGCGCGAGTCAAACATTTGATGGGTACATCCAAGGATGTAGGACTTCAGGCTTCGTCGATGGAAGCCTTCAGCAATTCTGCATCCTGGCACAGGGCGCGGACATGTCGTCCAGGCTGCTGCCGTTGCTTTAGAAGTGACAGCTCACAGGACCGACTCAAGCTGAGAGCCCGGCCAAGTCGGTGTTCCTTGGGTTACATCTTTTTCTGAAGCCATACGCTTACTTCAGCAATGTCGCCGAGACTCACAACTTTCAACCACGATGTAAGACCAGCGATTAGCACCACAACCTGGCAGATGACACTGGTGCACGAATCAACTTAATCAATTTGCCCAAGCCCTTCGTCTGAGCTATGACAACGTATATGACAAGTGGCAATAGCATCGCATAGTCCGCTGCAGTTAAACAGATACTTCACCGACGCTTCCCGCTTGTGGGAGGGGAATCCTTTAAGAGGCTCCTTGCGGCATTCCACCCTTGCCAGTTGCCGTGGACACGAATTCATCAATGCAATACAACACACCACCCTACCCCATGTAGCTACGCCATACTCCTCTGCGATGCGGTTCAGAGCAATGCAATAAAATACAATATACACTGAAGCATTCAATACACTACATATGTATGCACTGTATATCAACGACAAGAGGCACAGATTCAATTGAGGGGGTCGCCAACATGCTTCATGTCAGTACGTATGCAGTGTATGCAGATGTGTATGCATAGCCCGGCTGCAATCGGTCTGCTGAAACGGCGTGCTGTTCGTAAACATGGGTCGTGCATATAGGATGGTCTGGAATTAACCACCGGCCCTGAACAAACGGATTCGCTCAGCGGTGGGCACACATTCGGCAAGTTGCTGCCTTCGCATACCACAGAATGCTGAATGCTCATTTCTGCTTCAGCATTTTGGACATTTTGCACTGACTAAAACTGCGTCTTATGACTGTGGGTTGATCTGTTGGTTTAGCATGTTTAACGCTTTATACTGCTACCCTCATTGACTCATCCCTGTCCTGCGGCCATCCACTCGTGCATCTACCGGCGAAGTGCTTTTGGTTCCGCCTGAACGAAACCACGGCTGCTTTGGTTGCTGTTTGAAGCAACAACCAAAACACCTAGTGGTTCTCGTTCCCCAAACAATGTGGTGCACACTGTGGTGTTCTAACGTTCAGTGTAAAGAGGAGTGGTTGCAAAACTTTGCGGGACGAGGCTCCCGCTGTGGTGCGGTGCATATTTGCGCTCACAACATCCATGCGGCCTCATCCCGCGGAGAGCCAGATTCATCGTAAGTTTCGCTACATGGGCCACCTTGTGGCCCCGTGAATCCCGCCAGTACTTGGGGTAAAGCATTTTGGCCATCCTCCTGAAACCCGCCACTATATGGGGGGGAAGCACGATGCTTACTTAAGGGTAAGCCGATGAGCAATGATGTTTCCGTCGTCTCCGGGCTTCTGGTGGTGTCCCGGTGGTCTCCTGGTGGCCTCCTGGCGGTCGTAGCGGTCCTGGTCGTCCTTGGTCCTGGTGGTCGTTGTTGACTTGGTCGTCGTGCTCGCCATGATCATACTGGTGGTGCTCTATCACTGTTTAGGATCTCTGATGGCATAGTTAGTTCTCTGAATGAACAAATGTTATGGGTTTTTGTGTTTCCCACAAGAATCCAGAAATAGCCCTGCATTTGTGTTGTTCGCAGAAATCCGAAAACTCATCGTAAGAACCCCAAAATCCCCTGGGGTTCCTGTTTTTGTTTTGCAAAACCCAAACATTCCACTTTGTTTTTCGTTTTTGCAGCAAGACTGCAAAACAGCTACAGTTCTTCGTGTTTTACACCAAAACCCCAAAAAGACTGGTGTCACGAGCATGGTTTTTTGAACTTGAAAGTTTAAGTTTTGAACGCATCAGATGGAAGACGAAACTGCAGGAGTTTGAAAGCTTGAAGAGTTTGGAGAATAAAGAGTTTTAAGTTTGGCTTGAACGTGCTGAGTTTGAAAGCAGGCTCGAGGTTGGAGCTTGAATGTCATGAGTCATGATGTCCGAAAGTTTGAAGCTGCAGCCATGAAAAGTATTTAGGAACAGCGAACCGCGAACCTGCGAAACCGAACCGCCAAGTCGGTTCCCAGCTTGCCTTGTTCGAGGCATTGAGCCTTCTGCCCTTCTGCGAGGATATCCATTCTTCTATCATTTACAATTATTTACAGGCCGGAAACGTGTTTGGATCTGCTTGAACAACAGCATTGAAGAGAATTCAATATCCAGCATCGAGAGCGTCCGGGTTATGGGATCCTCTGAAACGTTAAAACCGTATTTCAGAGCATCCAAAATCGAGTATCCAGAGCATTGGGGCTTTGTTTGATTTGGCCTCCGCTTGCCTTGTTAGAGGCATGGAACCTTCTGTCCTTCTGTGAGGGAATCCATTCTGCTGTCATTGACAGGCCGGAAACGTGTTTGGATCTGGTTGAACAACAGCATCCACGAGCATTCAAAATCCAGCATCGAACGCTTCCGTATTCCAGAGCATCCAAAATCGAGTATCCAGAGCATCCGGGTTTTGTTTGAGTTCAACAAATAGCATTGCAGGAGCATGCAAAAGCGAGCGCCAAGAGCATCCGGTAGGGACTACTGGGGCCCTCTGGCAAGGTTCTACACCCCACAAGCCAGTCTGCCATAGTTAGCCACTGAATCTAAAATCGAGCCTCAAGAGTAGGGTCTCGGGTTCTTGGGTTGCCCGACCGGCCGGCCGCGGGGGGGAGTCCAGGATGAGGCTTTGCGGCGAACGTGGAGTGGAGCACGCGGGTGGGGCTCCGTGACGCCTCCCTGGCTCGAGTTTGAAAATTTGACAGGTGAGTTTCAAACTCTCAAAATTTATGGATTCACTCGACGGGCCGACGAACTTTCAAAACAAACGAATTTTACGGTATTACGCCTTGGAAGGCTCGCACATTCGATGTTGCGCCGTTGAAAATTTCAAGCTTTCCAACCTTCGATTTCCTGACCTCTTGCGAAGCTTTCCAACTGTCAAACTCTCGACCTCAGCCGCGAACCGCGAGCCGAACTTGGAGCGAACCTTTCAAGCTCGAAACCTTCGAACCTTCAACCTTGGAATCTTTAGAAGCCCTCGGACTCTCGAACTTTCGAACTCGCAACTTCCCAGATCCCTCCAACACCAGACTTTCAAACTTAGAGGGGCCATCGAACTGGACAGCGGCTAAAGTTTGGAGACTGAGCTCGAAGCAACTTTTGAAGGGTTGGAAGTTGGACGTCCGCCGACATGAGTATAGCAACATGCCCACGCCTTAGAACTCGGCCACCTTTCCTTCAGAGCTTAAGTGTTCAATTCCGCCGAGGTCACAGGCCCCAGGCGTCTTGGGGGTGAACTCAGTACCCTCTACCTAATCCTCCTCCCTGCATCCCAAAAGTTTGGTGACACCCCTCTACCCAGCCTACCCCTCCACCCCTTCCCGCCCCTTCCCCCTCTCCCCTCCTCCGCCCAACTGAGCATTACCGGGTTGTGTCACATTGTTCCGGCAAGCCGAGGCGGGCGGCGTAACGTTAAAATTTGGAGACTTCAAGCCTTCCAACGTTCATCAAACTCTGGACACCATTCAAAAGCACCCGCAACACCCTCAAATGTGAGGGACAACCAAATCCGCCGAGGCCCAGGCCTCCGGCGTCTTGGGGGTTTAACAGGTCCCTCTAACCCCCCCCTTTGCCCCCCCCCTTCACCCGACCCTTTTCTTTCGGCAATGAGCCAAACAGGGTGGATTGTGTCACAGTGCTGCTCCGTTAAAATGATTCAGGTACTGGTACTGATTCTACCAGTCAGGCTTCTTGGCTCGCATGGGCTATCCCAAACAGGTAAACACACACACACACAAGCAACATGAATCCGACACTTAGTACCCACCACCACCGAATCCGCCTCCCGGGGTCCAATTTCGAGACTCAGTCCCTGAGCTGCAGACTTTGAGACACATGCTGCCGCCACAGTCAGGACGAGGCGTGCGGCGTAGCGTTAGAATTAATGCCTTTTGAAACCATGCTGCCAAATGTAATGAGGCCGATTCAACAGATGTTGCGGATATTGCGACAAAACACGACAACATGCCGGGCTCTTCCGGTTCTGCACAAGGCATGCGGCTTCAGAGCTGGAGATGCAAGGACCGTGGTGCCTGCACGATCATCAGCGAAGCTCCAATTACGCCAACAACGAACCTCGGCGAGGTGCTGAATGTGATGATGCTTTGCTTCGACAGGCAGTGACTCAGTAGACTCATAGAGGCTCAGCATCAGGCTTGTCGG